TAATTATCTTGCCGACCTAAGTGGAGTCGAGGGGCCGGGGGAGGGGCGCACAGACCCGAGGGTAACCAACAGTTCCTATGTTGTAGCCTGCCAGCGAGGCGGAAGGTCTGACTTTACTTAGCAGCAGCACACAAGAGCTGCAGTTTACAAATGTCGGAGAAATAATGGGTTTCAAGTATTAAGAGACCGTCACCAACTTCTTCTTCGTGAAAACTCGTTTTGATCTCTTTCATTTTTTTATGCTTGTATACAGAAAAGATATATCCAACAGGAGGAAGTTTTTCAACTTCTGATCCTTCAGTATTAGCATTCGTCCCCTCTACCCCACTTGTTTCTGGTAATGAATCTAAATTTCAAGTGTCAGTCACTCTTTTTTATTGCTGGAAATGTTTCTTAGTTGCTAAGTTACTTACATATGTTCCGCTTAAATTGGTTTCCTCTTTCTGTCGCAAATGCTTGTTATGCACGAACCATGTTAGCCGCTGGCGAGATATTTTGTCGTAATGGATGGATTTTCTAACTCGTATGCCGTTCTGTGCTGTTATGCCACACTCGTATGGAATGTGCAAGCGACGTTTCGGTAAGGAGTCACGGTAAAGAAGTGAAGGAAGTTGACGGGGACAAAATATGAGAGATTATGGGAATTCCAGGGAAAACCAAAAAGACTGAATGGCCAATAGGGCTGTGATGAACAACCTAAGCGCCCTTTTAACATGGCTAGACAGTTTACTTGAACATGTCATCAAAACCTAACCAAAAATTACGACTTACAATTAATTTCAATATTTCAAGCATTCATATAAGAAAGAAGTTTTTCCTAATCAATATTAAATTGATTTAACATTTGTTTCGTGTGTAGTCCTTTGTATATTTTTTGTTGGATTGCAGAAGAATGTCAACAGGCCTTCCTACCGGAGTTTTACTAACAACGACAAAAAAGGAAAACCTATATATGCCTGTGAATGTATGGCAGACAGCGGATAAAGAATGCGATTCTTAGGCTTAGGTACGCTGATCAGACAGGCCTATAGCAATCTCATGCATTCCGCACCTCTGCTCCCCACTCTCCTTTTAAACCACCAAACATTCAAAGTATGAAGGGGGACATGTTTTGGGGGGTCTAAAGCGTTCTTATCGGATACTGTTTTATGTCCATTTGTGCCGGAGCAGAAATGCTGTAAAATTAAGGAGATTAAGGGTCGTTAGCCTGATGGGTGTTATCAGCAATTAGGCCTACAGGCCCTGTGTGTTTGCCGGTAAGGTAAAATGTAAAGTTGTCCTTGTGCTTAAGTAATTAAACACTATGCCATGAAGACGTATGTGGGAAGTGGATGTATAGATCCAAGTTTTATTGACCTCGGCATTAGTTGGAGGTGAGTGGTCAGTTTCACGCCCCTGCCGCTTTACCTCCGGGTAAAGAGCCCCCGGTACCCATTGAATAGGAGGATGGGTGGGCCCCAGAGCCTGTCTGGACGGCATGGAGAAGTGAAAATTCTTAACCCCATCGGGACTCGAAACACGATCCCTTGGTCGTCTAGCCCGTAGCCAGTCGCTATACCGACTGAGATGCCCCTTATATTTGCCGGTTACTTATAGAATATAACCTGTGATGATTAGTTTACTTGTAAACTAACGGAGCTGTATTAGCAGTAGTAATTTTTAAAATAATACAAAATAGAGAATACTTCAGTGCAATAATCGTTTTTCCAGACGCTTTATCAACTACTGTAATCTAATATAATCTAGCGTCGAATGACAGTGATTACGATGTGATGGCAAGACGCCGGAGGAAAGATTTCACAACCTATAATTTGCTTGAGGGGTGATAATTATCCAATTGTGGTGCAGTAAATTGATGAAGACGCAACGAAAGTGATGAGGTTAAGGAACTCTTTATCACTAAATAGGGATATTGAAAATAAAGAGCGCACCAAGAAAATTACGTAATGTGAATAGGTCTTATTCATAAATTATAGGCACCTTCTTACCTAATTTTATTAGGCATTGTAAAACAAAATGTAAAGTTCTCCCTCTGCTTAACTAATTAAGCAGTACACCATGAAGGCGTATGAGGGAGTGGATGTATAGATCCACATTTTCTTGCCCTCACAATAGTTGGAGGTGAGTGGTCAGCTTCAGGCCCCGGCCGCTTGACCCCCCTGGGAAAGAGACCCCGGTACTCACTGGATAGGAGGTTGGGTGAACCCCAGAGCCGGTCTGGAAAACTTGGAGAAGAGAAAATTCTTGACTCTACCGGACCTCGAATTCAGACCTCTTGGTCGTCCAGTCCGTAGCATAGTCGCTATACCGACTGAGCTACCCCGGCTCACAGTGTAAAGGAAGGAAAATGAATATTTAGCACGAATTATGGAATTTTAAAACGAGTAGAGAATTTTGGGCAGGAAAATGTGAAGGAAACATACATCGTAGGCTATTACGGGGATCCGTGGAGGAACGGGCGGTGGGAGGAAGGACTGTACTGAATTGATGCAGAACACTGCCCTGTCCCTTTGGGCTTCATGGAACAGGGATTTCTTAGACCAGCTGAGTCATTATAAACTTTCCAAGGAAGAGGTACGTTTTCTGGAATAGACCTATTATAACTATTTAAATTAAATCACGTATTTAATTATGCCTTCATAGGCTTAGGATGTCACAGTTATACTGTCGGCAAACTAAGCTGGCTACTCAGAAGATAGATCATGGTCACTTATCTGTCAAACTGCAACATGCAATAGACCCAAAAAGATTTAAATCACTCATCACTTGTTGGATTTTGGGTTCTCACTGCGGTGGCTACGAAGGGCGCGGTCTTTTGGGTTGTGTCGCCGTATTGTTTGGAGAAATCCTGAAGTTCCGAGGCATTTATGGCCTCCATTTTCGGCGTCGAATATTAAGCCAACCAGGAAAAGAGCAGAAGCAAGCTGAGCTGCTGCTCTAACTGTTAGCATCAGCAGTGCAGTTAGTGTCAATCAGCATGTCCTGTCACATCTCTCAGCATAATCAGTTCGGTTAGTGTCAATATTGTGTCCTATCAGAGCGTCAGCAGTCCGGTTAGTGCCAAAGATGTGTCCTACCACAGCATCAACAGTTCAGTTAGTGCCAATATTGTGTCCTACCACAGCATCAACAGTTCAGTTAGTGCCAATAATGTGTCTATCATAGCATCAGCAGTTCAGTTAATGCCAATAATGTGTCATATCACAGCATCATCAGTTCGGTTAGTGCCAGTATTGTCTCTCATAGCATCAGCAGTTCAGTTAATGCCAATAATGTGTCATATCACAGCATCAGCAGTTCAGTTAGTGCCAATATTGTGTCCTACCACAGCATCAACAGTTCAGTTAGTGCCAATAATGTGTCTATCATAGCATCAGCAGTTCAGTTAATGCCAATAATGTGTCATATCACAGCATCATCAGTTCGGTTAGTGCCAATATTGTATCGTATCACAGCATCAGCAGTTCAGTTAGTGCCAATATTGTGTCCTACCACAGCATCAACAGTTCAGTTAGTGCCAATAATGTGTCTATCATAGCATCAGCAGTTCAGTTAATGTCAATAATGTGTCCTACCACAGCATCAACAGTTCAGTTAGTGCCAATATTGTATCGTATCACAGCATCAGCAGTTCAGTTAGTGCCAATATTGTGTCCTACCACAGCATCAACAGTTCAGTTAGTGCCAATAATGTGTCTATCATAGCATCAGCAGTTCAGTTAATGCCAATAATGTGTCATATCACAGCATCAACAGTTCAGTTAGTGCCAGTATTGTCTCTCATAGCATCAGCAGTTCAGTTAATGCCAATAATGTGTCATATCACAGCATCAGCAGTTCAGTTAGTGCCAATATTGTGTCCTACCACAGCATCAACAGTTCAGTTAGTGCCAATAATGTGTCTATCATAGCATCAGCAGTTCAGTTAATGCCAATAATGTGTCATATCACAGCATCATCAGTTTGGTTAGTGCCAAAGATGTGTCATACCACAGCATCAGCAGTTCAGTTAGTGCCAATATTGTGTCCTAACAGAGCATCTTGTGTCTACAGCACGTGGTGACGTATGGATGCTGCCTTATTGTTCCACCAAGCCTTGGGAACGAAACCTCCCTTACACCGTACCACAACCCCCAACAAGTTAAGTTGGACTGCAATGCTTTTTTGCTGTTGCTGCTGTTGTTGTTGTTCTATCTGCCCCTCTTTCACAGTGCCGATGGGCCACGGCAATGCCAGCACCTTCTCTGTACAGCGCACAGTCCACGTGGACTCGACACGAACCTGTCACACCAACTACACTCGCGGTTGCCAAGCAACGAAACGCAAAGAACTGCCACGGATTGGTCTCTGCCAGCTTTCCATTGGCATTCCTTGAAAAGTGTCCACGCCCTCCTAGAACATTGATGAAGCGGAGTCGGGCAGCGGCGAGAGAGATAGCGCGCTTCCTATTGGTGAAGTGAGTAAAACTCGGCTGCCTATTGGCGGAGAGGGCCTATTCTGACGAGTATATTTATGCTAAGGTTCCCTTCCCGACTTCACTCCACGTGGAGTTATGCCTCTTGAAGGTACGACAGCGCCAAGCGGTACTGCTTGAAAACCGTTGTAGGGTGATACAGGCAATCCGACGAGCGGTAGGGTGCTTGGCGAGGGACGGGGAGGACGCCTGATACGGCTGCCATATTTGGGAGGGAAAATCAGTGGAGTATTTGCGAGAGGGAAAGAAGAACCTTTTGTGCTGGTCGGGTGTAGTGGAGAGTTTTGCAGGAGCAAGAAGGGTGGGCGGCCATTTTGTGTAGAGCGTTTTTTAGTCCTCTTTTTTTTATTTTTTAAGGGAGAGAACAAGGTATAGGGAATCATCGTGCTGGAGTGTTGGTGTGAGTTTTAGCCGTGTACCATGTATAGGGGTAGGTTTGGCGGGAGGGTGTGTGTGTGTGGCGGTTGTGTGCTGGGAGCCCGAGGGGTTGCTAGACGGTGGCTTTAGGAGGGGGGGGCGGCTGCGCTGGGCGGGCTAGGAGTGTACGGTGTGAGCGAACGCTCAGTGGCACAGTGAGTGAGCGAGGAGTAAGGTTGTGCAGTGCGTATCTGTGGCGTTCCTTCTGTGCCATCACAACAATAGTACACAGTGCGATTGTTAACTGGTGGCAACCACACACATCTCCAAAAGGATTATTTCGTCAGTAGTGAACATTGTGAATGGTGTTACTGTTAACGAGCTGTTTTCTCGCATTGAAGGGGGGTACATTCTTCTCTTTTTGTTCCAAGTGTGAATGCAAATTATTTGTGAATATTTTTTCCCAAATATTTTTAGGTGGAACTGCAACAGAAATACAGTTTTTGTGTGATATATTCCAAAACCGTGTATTTTAATATTTTTTTTACCCGAATACGGATGTGTTTACTTTAAGTTTTGTGTTTCGTGTGTCGGTAATTTTTTGATCGTCGGAATTGGTGCTCTTACCGCCATTGTCAGATCAATTTTGAAATATTATCTGCGCAGTAATAGAGATTTGTTGGCGTCTTGACCCCGGTGTTTGTGCAAAAAGCTGGAGGGACACTTGCAAAGTGTATGGTTTCGAGTGCTGAATGCTGCAGCCAGCGGTACATCTTCTGCGGCAGGTTTCTTGGGGTTAACAAGTCATCACGACCGTGGGGGCGGCGGAGGCGGCGGGGGTTTAACAGCCGCGTCCTTGTCTCGTTTACCATCTCAAGCTAGTGTCAGCAACAGCAACAGTTCTACCGCTTCTGCAGGACCACGGAGGGCCAGACACAGCAGCAACAATAGCCACAGTAGCAGAAGCAGCACCCCTGCGGGAAGTGCAGCGTCGGCGGTGTCAGGAGGTCGGGGGGCCAGCGGCAGTAAGATGCGCTGCTGACATAAGATGTACCCCACCGCAGGAATGAACGCGGCGGCAGCAGCAGCTGCGGCGGCGGCACGGCACCCGGTGAGTTTCTAAAGCGTCGCCAGGGGCCGTCCTCCCGAAGCGACATCACTGACTACAGCCTGTCGGCACGTTTACATTTTCCACAGAGTTAATTGTTAGAGTGTTTCATGGTATTTCAAACACGCTGTGTAACACCGGCTGTAGAATATAATTACATACAGTTTACGTCGTTACACAAACGTAATATTAGATTCCGTAGATTTTAACGAAAAGACATATTTGACCATCCGCCATTCGGAGTTGGCGTATTTGACTGCTGTCACGCAGTGCGAGCCGCAGCGAAACATCCTGTAGTCAATGTCACGAACAGACTTCTTTTATTCCGTTCCGTGAACTTGCATCAGATTACTCGTCTTGAATCGAATGCAGAGTCCGCAGTGGGACTCCAGTGACAGCTACTTTCAGTGGAAATGTTTCATTCGTTCGTCTAATAGGTAAATAGATCTGTGAGGTTGCTTTATGCCTACTTGGGGTTTTTTGAAAGCATAAGTTGTCGCATGGAAGAAAGTTTTTTTTTTAAGTTTGTTACTGAATGTCACATAAAGTGGCATGAATTTATAGCTTGATAAGTACGGCCAGTATCACGTTGGGGCCGTCCACTGTATAATGCCCGTGATAAGGCCTGCTTTAGTCATTTTTTATTTCTTCCAGGAAGTCCAGCTATTCTGTATGTCCGTTGAAAAACTTTATTTCATCTTCAGTTCAGAAAGTTTCGTTATTCATCAGAATGTTACTGTGAAGAAAGCAGTCTTCTGGGATTTGGCACCGTGTATATGTGGTGTTAACCGACGTTTCGGAGGAACGTATCGCCTCGATCTTCAGGGTAGAAGACTGTCTGCTTTTACCGGTTCTCACGGTCTCTTCGCTTGCAGATTTCTTATATTTTTTCTTCTACCCTGAAGATGGAGGCGATACGTTCCTCCGAAACGTCGGTTAACACCACATATACACGGCGCCAAATCCCAGAAGACTGCTTTCTTAATAGTCACCGCCGTGAAAGCCTCAAATCTTACAAAATGTTACTGTGCTAGCGCAAACCAAGTTCCCAATCATACAGTACCATGAACAGGGAACACAGTTGGGCCCCGTAATACAAGAGTTCTAATGTGTTAATAGTCTGTACACAACGTGTCAGCGAGTTTACTGCGTGTTACACCTTGCGAGACATAGCCATCGTCCTGTCTTTATCTAAAAATACCGTCCTGTTTATTTTTCAAAACACGACGTTTCGGAGACTGGATTCAAGTATTTTTAGATAATTAGAGGATTATGGATAATGTCCAGAAAAATAATATTTGTACTTGGGTGACTTGCTTTATTGTACAAGAGTTTTGAGTTATCTTGTGTGGTTCATTCAGCTTTTAGACACACTTCAGCAGCTACGGTTGTCTAGAACTTCGGAGAAAGTAAACAGTCAAACTGCTGAAAATAATGAAAGCATTTCACCTGACTACTTTCAGCATGTATGAGCATGAGTTTCACAAGGCGGTTATGAGCTTATCATAGCCATGGACTCGAGTACAGTACAGTATTTGTGAAATCTACAGATGTCTTCACAGTTGTGCATTTATCGGTAATCTTAACATAATATGATTATCCCAGACAACAGCGAACTCCTCTAGCGATATCTGGTGTTGTATCTAAAAAGTTCGGTATAGGAACATACTTGGATTCCTGTAGACCGACGTCAGAATCAATTTATTCACCATTATTTTTTATTTATTGATAGTGAGGTGGGACTAAGTTCCTTGTACTGCGGCCACTTCGGGCCTAGTGTACCAGCCCAGATGATAGGTGAGGGTGATTGTGGAGCAATTGGTGGAATGAAGACTGGCAGAGGAAGCTGAAGTACTCGGAGAAAACCTGCCCCAGCGCCACTTTGTCCACCACAAATCCCACTTGACCAGACCCGGGATCGAACCCGGGCCGCCGCGGTGGGAAGTCAGCGACTAACCGCTTGAGCTATGGCGCGAATTTATTATCTAAGTTTAACTTTATTCATTCTGGTCCGTCACAATAGTTAAATAGAATGATTTGGCAACACCACCCTGTGTGCCTCAAATGTATGTTCATATGAATGCCTTTACATGTTTCGGTCAGTTTTGGCCATCTTCAGAAGGCAGATAACACGTTGAGGAAATTATTATTACATTGATCATAGTACATCAAGTTGAATCAGAGTTTTATATAAAGATTTTAATTAAGGCAATGTGGTTGAATTAACATTTAGTAAAATTCTTAATATTTAGAATTTTAAACCGCTAATGTTCGTGTCTTCGTGTCTCTTCTATCAGTGGGAGATTGGGGAGATACTGCCGTCCTTAGAGGTCCGGGCAGAGTTTTTTCCCTTCTTATGTAGTTAGTTTAGAATATGTTTTGTTGATCTGCTTATCCTTTCGTATGTATTGAGGCACATTATCTTAATTAAAATCTTTATATAAAACTTTGATTCAACTGATGTACTATGATCAAAGAAGATTACCAAAACTAACCGAAACATGTAAAGGCATAATTTAAAAATACATTTGAGTCACACTGGACGGTGTTGTCAATTCATTCTATAAAATTCATTCCTAAATTTTGTTTCGTACGAGCACTATATATTTATTCTAAAATTAAGGACAAGTATAGGTCACGATATTCACACGTGCTCGCTTGGGGTTTTGTTATAGCGATAGATGGGCCCAGTGCTCCTCAGGATATTTCTAGTTTCGTTTTCCATTCCATTTGTTAGTCCCAGGAAGAGCGAAGTTATATATTGCACAAATTATTATTTTCGACATGTCTCAGAATTTACCCTGAAGGTTATCTTTCGCAATCCGCCGTCGTTGCAACCTTCCGTCCTTAGTCTGTTCAGAAACTCCCCGTATCATAAACAATGCCGTCCTCTGGGATGTGGCGCCATGTAGGCGATACATTCCTCCGAAACGTCGGTTTACACTACCTACACGACGCCACGTCCCAGAAGACGGCATTCTTCATAGTCACCGCCGCGAAAACCTCAAGTCTTTACATGTCATAGTTTTCTCGATGATCTGGAAAGCTTTCCTGATCTTAAATTCATGGACATAAATGACTCAAGTTGTTAAAACCTCTTTCGGCACAGCCCCACTGCCCTAGCAACTGAAAAGCATGTATGGAAAACAGAATGAAGCTTTCTGTGTTGCACAGCAAACTGTTTGTGTCCAAATGACCGTCGTTAGACAGGATTTTAGTCAACAGATATGGAGAAACCTGACTCCCGTCGTCATAAACTTAATGGAATAGTTGGAAGGCACTTTTATTTTAAACTGGTCCATCTTAAACTAAGTGACTCTCCCATGTGTCTGACAGTTCATGCCGTAAGAAAGGCATCGTTACAGTTTGCTGTTGGTGTTTCCCGAGAACTTCCAGTAGCTTCTGAATTGGTACTTGTTAATCTGTTCACTGTTTCGCTAGAAATTCTACCATTGCCTTCCGAAAGCTTATTTTTTCCCTTTCACTGATCAGTGCTAGTCCTTGCACGTATGTGCTTTCCCTGCAAGACGCATCCCCCCTACAATCTCTTCATTAATGTGCAAAGCCATTTTTGTTTATTGTTTAGTTTTTTCAGTTCTCTGAATTTTGGCAATTTACGAAATGCCACCCCCACTATCTTTTTAGTGACAATTCTTACACGCACGACAGGCCATAGGGCTGGACGACCGAAGGGTCGGTGTTCGAGTCCCGGTAGTGTCAAGAATTTCTCTTCTCCACGACGTCTAGACCCTCTCAGGGGTCCACCAAACTTCCTATTCAGTAGGGTACCGGGGGCTCTTTCCCCGGGGTTAAAGTGGCCAGTACGTGCAACTGATCACTCACCTCCATCTAGTGCCGAGGTTAAGAAAATGTGGATCTATACATTCACTTTCCCATACGCCTTCATGGCGTAGTGCTTAATTAAGCACAGGGACAACTTTGCCTTTTACTTCTATCATTCTTACACACAGGGCCGTTCCTAGGGGCACAGGGTCCTAAATGTGATGTACACATGAAAAATAAACGAACCTCTGTGTCAGAAGCCTGCAGATTCAATCTGCATCCCTAACCCAGTCGTGGTACCGTCAGACCTGGGTCAGCATCGAGAGTCAGCACACAGTTATCGTCCTTTGTCATACAGTGTATTGTCCTGAATTACTCTTATGTGATAAATTTTTGACGTGTTAATCACTGAGCCTCAAAAAAGAAAAAACGGTAAGCAGTGAAAATAAGGAAATAACCAAATGAAACCGGAAGTAAGTTACGTGATCCAAAGAGCAAAACCATTTGTAAGGGCTTCCTTATTTTATTTATGGATATATTATTTTTTATTGCTAGTGGGGTGGAACTAAGTCCCTTGTGCTGCGGCCACTTCTGGCCTATTGTACCAGTCCCAGATGATAGGTGAGGGTGATTGTGGAGCAATTGGTGGAATGAAGATTGGCAGGGGAAGTACTAGGACAAAACCTGCCCTAGCGCCATTTTGTCCACCACAAATCCCACTTGACCAGACCCGGAATTAATTATGGATACAAGTCAGAACGATCCCACGCTTAACAGCTCAGTGGCACACATCTGTTTCTAAGTTCATTTCATTGTCAGGATGTTGACCCTGCTTTACTACCAGTCAGGACATCTTGGTTATTAACAATTGGTTACTTTATCGGCACGATATTGAGCAGCAAACGTTTCTTTTCAATGATTCAGGTAATTAAAACATATTAATAATGAGCAATGAGAGAAACACTAGATTGCTCGACTCTCTCTCTCTCTCTCTCTGGCTGTACAGCCCTTTGGACCATGGCCGTTCTTTTCAGTTTCTTAACCCTATACACAGTCGGTAGGACTCCTTAGACGGGGGATCAGTCCGTCGCAAGTCCGCTGCCTACATACAGAACAACACAAACAAATAAATGTACACAGACATCCATGCCTCGAATGGGATTCGAACTCACAAAGACGGTTCATGCGGCCACTGTGTTCGGCTCATTGCTTGACTGGCA